GACCTCATCTCTACAATAAATCAAAAAATCAGCCGGGCTTGGTAGCGCATGCCTGTAATTCTGGCTACTTGGAAGGCTGAGGCGGAAGGATCGCCGGAGACCAGCAGGTTGAGGCTGTGGTGGCCGGGAGCGGCTACTGCATTCCAGTCTGGGCGACAGAGTGAGACTCCAACTCAAAAAAAAAAAAAAAAAAAATTAAATGTTCAAAAAAATCTTTCTCCATAAAAGGGCTTGCATGTTTGTTTCAAGGTACATCTTTGAACTTTTATGTTACTGATCTATAAAAATACAACTGATATATATATATAATATATGTTTTATATTTACCCATCTTACTAAACTCCATTATTTTAATTATTTGCAAATTATGTGTAGATTCTATGTAGGTAATGTCATGTGAAAGTATACAAGTTTGCTTTTTTTACTTCCTGTCTTTATACTTCTTATTTCTTATTTTATTGGGCAGGGTAGGGACTTCAGAACAGAATCCAGTAGAAATTGTGAGAGCAGAAATCCTTATATTTTTCCTGATTTTAATGAAGATTAAACACACACACACACACACACACACACACACACACACACACACACACACTATTGTATGTTATGTTTACTTGTTGGTTTTTGTGGGTATTCTTTTTGAGGTTAAGGAAGTTTTTGTCTCTTCTAAGTTTGCCAAGAGGTTTTTTTGCTTTTAATTGTGAGTAAACATTGAACTTTATTCATAAAAGAGAAACAGACTGGAAGGAAATGCAATAAAAATTAATAGTTATCGCTAAAAAAATTATTTTATTATCTGGGCTTGGTGGCTAATGCCTGTAATTCCAGCACTTTGGGAGGCTAAAGTGGAATGATGTCTTGAATCCAGGAGTTCAAGACCAGCCTGGGCAACGAAGAGAGACCTTTTCTCTACAAAAAAATTAAAAAATTAGCCAGGTGTGGTGGTGCACACCTGTAGTCCCAACTGGGGATTCTGAGGTGAAAGGACTGCCAGAGCCCAGGAGGTCAAGTCTGTGCTAAGCTGTGATTGTGCCACTGTACTCCAGCCTGGGATTCAGAATGAGACCCCAACTTAAAGAAACAAAAACATTATTTTGTAAAGATATTATCCCAAAATAAAACTTTTTGTGAAGTTTAAGTAGCAATTCACTGGTATCTAATAGAAAGGCAGTTGAGTTGGAGTTTTCAGGGGACATTTCCATTTTAAAAATCAAATTTAAATATTATGTTTCTGCTTATTTTTATTTTTAAATTTTTTTGAGTTGAGTCCTCACTCTGTTGCCCATGCTGGGGTACAGTGGCACAATTACTACTTACTGCAGCCTCAGACCCCTGTGCTCAAGGGATCCTCTGACTTTAGCCTCCCGAGTAGCTGGGACTACAGGTATATGCCACCACCGCCAGCTAATTTTTTTTTTTTTTTGTAGAGAGGAGGTCTTGGTATGTTACCCAGGCTGGTCTCAAACTCCAGGACCTCAAGCATTCCTCCTGCCTCAACCTCCCAAAATGCTGCGATTACAGGCATAAGCCATCATGCCCAGCCTCTTGTTGCTTAAATTGACAGTCGATTTGACCCTGGTCTTGAATAAACCAGCATTTGTTCAATACTGTTATGTGCTAGACATTTCTATTTCCCCTAGACCTGTTTGTATAACTATTGTCACTTTGTGTGTTTTGCTGTTGGAGTTGAATGATATGAGCTAACAGAATTCACTGAGGTTTGTGAGGCTGGCAGAGGGAGGCAGGTCTAGCATAGCAGTTAAAAATGGTCAACTCTTGCCGGGCACGGTGGCCCATGCCTGTAATCCTAGTACTTTGGGAGACTGAGGCGAGCGGATTGCCTGAGTTCAGGGATTCAAGACCAACCTAGGCAGGTTGGTGAGACCTCATTTCCACAGTGAATCAAAAAATTAATTGGACATGGTGGTGCACGCCTGTAGTTCCAGCTACTTGGAAGGCTGAGGCGGAAGGATCGCCTGATCCCGGCAGGTCAAGGTCGAGGCTGCAGTGGCCGTGAGCACGCCACTGCACTCTAGCCTGGAGATTCCCACTCAAAAAAAAAAGGTGATCAACCCAGAGCCCCACTGTCTGAGTTCGTTCTGGCTCTACCACTTCCCTGCTATGTAACCTTAAATAAATTTCTTAGCCTTTCTGAGCCTCATTTTCCCCACTGGGAAGTAGAGATGATAGTCCTTATTTCATGGAATTATTGTGAGGATTAAGTGAAAGATGAAAAATGCTTAAGCACTACCTGTCACGTGGTGAGTGCTAAATGGATGGACATCTAGCCCTGAGTTCTAAACAATGTTACTGATATAAATATATCTATAAAAGTGAGCATAAACTGAACATTTGTTTTCAATTTTTTTTTTCAGGTAAAAGAAATAGGAAATTACTTTAAACAACACCTTTTACAATCCAGACACAGAGGTGCATTTGAATTGGCTTATACTGGTTTTGTGAAACTCACTGAAATACTAAACAGGTAAAACAGATATCCCTTTGTGTATGTTTTAAAAAGACTAAATGTACAAACCACATGCTTGGAGTATAATTTAGTTATGTCTTTTGATGTTTAAAAGAATAAGACTTGGTTAGCTACAAAGCTCTTGGAAGAAATTGTTTTCTTAGGTTTCATTGTATGACTTATTGCAGATGATTGAGTGAAATGTCCAAACCGAGTTGCTCTCTCATTGAAAGGTGATTTGAAGCAAACTCAAAAGATTTTGCTAAAAATAACTTTGAGATTGCTATTTCTTTTTGTTGAATGAAATAAATATTTTGTCTGTTTGAAAATTACTTGACGTCTGGAATAAAATAAGCCCTGCAATTGTTTGAGTTGCACATGTTACAAACAGAGGAAACGCTTAAGGATTTTTTTTCTTCTTCATAATTTTATCTTATAGAAATTTTTAAAAGATCAGTAAGTAGACCAAGAAGTATAAAATATTTTTTTTTCTTCTTACCTGAAAAACACTTAGGTATATTTCATATATTTAATCAAATGTAATTTTTTGACATAGTTACTGATAATTTCATCCATTCATATAATAGATTTCCTCCAAAGAGCTTGTGAAGAAACCTTAAATTACTTAATGACTAAGTGTTCATGGCAAGTGTTCTCTAAATAACAGGCAGTATTTTCCAGGAAAACATTTCTATCACCTGGAAATTTTCTGAAATGAAGCAGGGTTCTCCCAGCCTTGTAGCCTCAGCAAACATTTTATTTTGGGCTGTTAAGACATCTACTCCCTGAATATTTTTGAAACTTTTTTTCACACCCCAGGTAAAAACATTTTGAAAGTTATGAGGTGCACAAAATGTTGTTAAACGATAACTTTAAAAATGTCCCTGGCATTAAGCTGGTGATCTTGAGAGTATTTTACTTTCTCGAGTCTTTGTTGCCGATGGAGACATGATGTATGAATATTTTTTCTCACAGCAGAACATGCTCCACTATAATCGAGTCAATTAACAAAATATGTGTATGGATACTGGCTGTGTGCTTAATACCACTTGGTTTGGCGGATATAATACTTTTTTATAAAACAAAATTTCTGTTATTAAAGAGCTATGGTTTAGTTTGGGAAATAAGCAGAGATGAAATTTAAAATGTTTAACAAAAGCCATGTCTTGAGCACTGACTGGTCAGAACTAACACTGGCTCTGTGCTCTCAGCATTACTATATGTATGGGTATGGACGGATGTTGACTGAATACCAGCCTGGAAAGTAAGACCAACACACTTGGAAAAGATAAGACTGCCAAATTTGGGGTGAAATTTACAAGTCCTATAGGAATAGTAGAGAGAAAGCAACAGGGGTAGATTGGTAGGGCTTTGTGGAGGAGGTGGAATTTGTGCTAATGCATGAGTAAGGTTTAAGTAAATAGGAAGAAAAAGAAGGAACCATTGTCACTAAGCATTCAGAGGCTAGAATCAGTATTGATGTGAGGTGAATAAATAAGCCAACCTTCATGTAGTGGTGATATCGGTGGTAGGGTTAACAGGAAATACCAAACAAGTAGATAGACTGAGGCACAATTAAAGAGTACCTTGAAAATAGATTTGCTGTAGTAGGGATGGAGAGAGACATCAAACATTTTTTATCTGAATAGGTCATAGGAAGCATCATAAAATAGAGGAATAGCAGTGATCTGTGACTTAAGATCTTAGTTCTCTATGTATTCATTCCATTTATTGGCCTCTTTAGCCTTTGATCGCTTCATCTCTAAGGAAAAGAATATTTGCCCGTTGACAGATCTCTGACTTTTGTTGTATGGATCAAACAGCAATGACATCAACGACATTTTATACACACTTTTGCATTATAGAGTTTCCTACAAATATAAAACATTATGAGATTGATGTTGGTTGTGGGTTGGTGTGTAAAAGTAGTTTTTGGTTGGAGTGTTAGGTTAGATAGATTTTGATAACAGATTATAGCCTGGAATCAGTTATAACAATCTAGATCTGAGGTGATGAGGGCTTTCTTTATGATAATGACTCTAGGAATGGAGACAAAAATGTGGTGTTTTAGTTAACATCTAGCCCTATGTAAATGTAGCAACAACCACCCATGATGTATTGTGTGGTTAGAAGGAAAGCTGTGGGCACATTTGATTACATTTCATGACTTTATGTGTCAAGAATTATGGCAAGGCTCAACTGAGTGATTCTTCTCCTTAGTATATTTATTGAGTTCAGTTGCTGGCAGACAAACTGGCCACAGGGATGCAAGACAGCTTCAGTTACATTTATGGCACCTTGGTGGGACAAGCTAGAAGCCTAAGCCTAGTTGGGACTACATGTGGCCTCTCACTCAGCATGGCAGTCTTAAGTAGTTGAAATACTTATATGACAGCAGGCTTCCTCCAGAGGTAGTATTCCAAGAGAACCTGGCAGAAGCCATATGCATAGTCTTCAGATCTAGCTTTAGAAGTCTCATCGCGTTACTTCAGTTATATTCTATTAATTGTAAGTGATTCTTTAGGCCAGCCTGGATTTAATCCACCTTGTGATGGCAAAGTGGCAAGATCATATTGTAGAAATATGTGTGGATGGGAGATATTGTGCTGGCCATCTTTGAAAAATGCAGTCTGCCACTGGAATCAACTGAATGCAAATGATGGAGATCACCAGGGAGTTCACATTTGCTCCTGTGGTTTTAAGACCTGGTCACCAGAAAAATGGGATTGATGTTAACAGAACCAAGAAAACTGAAAGATGGAGTTGGCTTGATAAAGATGAATAAGTTTGTTTTGCATGTGTTAAGTATGAGATAATGATGGCATATTCTGGTGGAAATATTTAAGTCAGCTGTTGGAGATAAGGGTTTAGTTTGGGTGGTAGAACAGAAACAGAGATGTAGGTTTTTGAGTTGTCTCCAGAAACATCATAGTAAGATTGCAGTTAAAGCATAAAAAGAGAAAAGAATGGAGGACTAAGGAAAGAGGCTTTTGAGCAACTGGTTGAATGGTACAGTTGAAGACATTCCAAATAAATGAAATGGGGAGACTCTGGAAGGCCCAGTGCCGGGTATCTCAGCCACTCCTAATCTACTTGAAAGATTTCCTCATGACTGTCACTATTGGCTTTTAACCAGCCTGTTATGAGTTCTCAACTGTTGCTTTCAAACCAAGTAGTTCTTGCTCCCTTTGGAGACATTTCAAATCTGCTGAACGGAATGTTTTGCAGAGAACATCTTTACAGTGTGTGTGGCTTTCTTTTGTTTGGTTTTTATTTTTAAAAGAAAATTTGTTTCTTTTGGACTCCTTTTGAAAGTTTTTTATAAGCTCTTAAGTTATGAAGAAGTTGTTTAGGCATATAGCATTTTAAAAGTTTGCAAAAAGAAATCTGGGCGTTCGGAAAATCCACAGAGATGGAGGCCAACTGCTGGCTACCTCTTGAACTACAGCTGTGCTAAGGAAGGAAGCACTTACCGAGATTAATGGATAAATAATGGATAAATAACTGAAGAGTTAAACATGAGCCACAGTGTTTGAATTGGTTTTTAATAGGATTGTTCAAAATGTCTTGAAGTATAAACTGACTTCACTATTAAATAATCATGTGAGAAGAAATAGGAATGGGAGACATAATTCTTTCTGATAATCTTTTGAAAATAACACTTGCGACACACATACACACAAACAGTATGTTAAGTTAGTTTTTTGTAATCTGATTTTCTTACATCGTGCTTTCTATTTAGAATTTGACAAAATATTCATATTCTCTTTCAAAAACATAATTACTTGCCTTTGCATAATTAGCTACCTAAACATTTAATTGGCATGATTAAGTTCATTAAGTCATAACTCTAAATTCAAGTTTCTGATGAAATTCATGTCTGCTTGTTTATTCTTTATGGCTTTAGTATTTGAAGTCTTTTTTTCAATGAAAATGAACAGAATTCTAAACTAGGATGTTAAGTTGGGGAATCCAAACTTTAATTTGTTCAACCATAAATAAGGGATAAAATCATTGATTATAATTCTAAATATAAAAGGGAGATTTATGAGCTGATGTCTTACTTCATATATTTGAATAGTTCTACTTATTGAAATGTAGCTTAATTTATAAATATTTATTGCAATAATTACAATCATTTGCACATTATTGGCCTGAAAAAATGGATATCAACAATTGCAATGGAAAGAATAATATAAAAATGTATTTAAACTTTCATTAGGACCAGGCGCGGTAGCTCTGTAATCCCAGCACTTTGGGAGGCAGAGGCAAGATTGCCTGAACCCAGGGGTTTGAGACCAGCCTGGTTAGCTTGGTGAGACCTCATCTCTACAATAATTCAAGAAACATTAGTTGGGTGTGGTGGTGCACATCTGTAGTTCCAGCTACTTGGAAGGGCTGAGGCAAAAGGCTTCCCTGAGCCCAGCAGGTCAAGGCTGTGGTGGCCATGAGAGTGCCACTGCATTCTAACCTGGGCGACAGAGTGAGACTGTGATACCAAAAAAAAAAAAAAAAAAAAGCAATGGGAAATTTAAAGGATTTTTCTCCTTATGAAAGAATATGGCTCCCCAAAGTGACTTATCACTTATTCTTTATTAAATTATTAGTATTTCAAATAAAATTCATAGTATGCTTAATGAGAAATAAATGTATTACTTAGACACATTTGCCAAATGAAGTATGCATAAAAGTTTAGAAAAGACTGTATATTATTTTACTCAGAACTGAATGACTTTTCCCCCAAACCTCATATATTACATTCTACATTTATTTCTTGCTCAACTGCATATTTTTTTAGAGATTTAGTCTTTCATTCTCCAAAAAGGCAGGAGAAATTATCTTTTCACTAATATTTTTCAATTGAGCATAAAAAGTTTTCAGTTGAATTTGAATCACAGTAGCTATAGTTAACTGATGAAAGTTTATTTATTTATTTTTGAGTTGGAGTCTCACTTTGTCACCTAGTCTGGAGTGCAAGTGGCATGTTCATGACCACCACAGCCTCGACCCGCTGGGTT